GCATTCTTAATCACCTAAGATCACACAAGATAATAAGAAATATGTCGGAAAAGCTCCAGTTTGCCTTTCCTGTTTGTCATTCCGTAAAAATGTTTATATTTTCAAAATCTAAATTTTGAAATATCGAAAGATAGTGAAAATGCGACCTTGTATCTGATTCTTATTTTGCATAATAATAATAATAATACTCAAAAGTTACAGTTAGCCTTTACTGTGTGTCCTAAACAAATTTTTTTTATAAATATAAACTCAACTGATGTAAGGAACCTTTATAATATTTTAAGAATTTCGATGAAAAAACGACGTAATTTTGCAAATATGGTAAAATCGAAAACATTTTTCTTAAAGGCTGAAAGACAAATTTATAAACGTTTTTTTGTCGTCTCTAAAATTCATATAAAAGTCCTTTAGAGTCCAGGATCACGTTCCCTTCCCCGAGGCGCTCATTTTCCAAACAGGAAAATTAAGTGCTTGTCACATTTGCGGTTGACAACGTTTAATTTTCTGTCTATTTTTATGCCTCTTGGCCCACTTTTTTGCCCTTCTCGTAGTTTATAACATTTGCGCTTCTCCCCACACGGAGCATAATTAAATCATTTAGCCAAAAGCAAAACAGAGAAAGAGCACGGTAGAAATATAAATGAAAACGGAATATAAAATGTGTAATAAAGTGTAATAAAAAAGAATTGTAAGCGGAAGTAGCAGCGACGCATTCAGCTGGAACTGAAGCGGACTTATATCGAGAAGCGGAAGAAGGAGTCATCATCATCGTCGTCATAAAGAAAGACGAACGGCCGTGGCGTGTAATGGAAATTACGAGCGGTGGCTACGGACAAGAACAATAAAAAATCGCATTGTAATAGCAGCAAAAGCAACAGCAACATCAGCAGCAGCACAACAGCAACACATTGCTGAGGGGGCAGTGCACCTGCGACCATATAGCGTCCAAATAGGTATAGTCGCTACAATTCCGATGGAGCAGCGGCGATTAGACGCTGCCCCAAACCGTTTTCTGCTTCCGCTTTCCGCCGACAACAACAACAGTAACGCAAATAGCAGCGGCAGCAGCAACATGAACCACACACGCAGAAAAAAAGCACCAAAAATTGACTCTAATATTTTATAATCCACATTGATTTAAAATAATAATAAATAATTGGGCCATCATTTTCTAGATCAATATAGTACACAACATATGATATTCCACAAAATAATTTGCATTAACGTAATTCTAGTTTAAAGCTAAATAAATCCAAACAAAAGTAAACCTTGTACTCAGTCTTATCAGTAGTTAATATTAAATTATGATTATCTAATATTTTATAATCACAATGATCTAAAATAAAAATAAATAATTGGGTCATAATTTAAAGATAACTACATCAAGAAAACCTTGTACTTGGTCTTATCAGTATTTAATATCAAATTATTCATATTATTTCGATGTTTTCACATATTTCAATAGATAGATTTGTAATTTTCACACTAATAATTTTGGACCACTTGCACATTTATAGTTTCAAAATAAACATATATACTTATTAGAGATCTGGTTAAATATTTTACTTTTTCATACAGTTACATTTAAACTATGAATCTTTGTGATTAGTATAGTCGAGTTTATAGTCAAGTGTTCAGATATAAAAAAAGAGTCATAGAATATGAATAATTAAATTAATAACATTTTATGAGACATCATAAATAATTAAATTAATTTTAATTTTGTTGACTAAAATTTGAATCGCTAAAAATAATCGGAATGACAAAATCCGATGTACAATAATTTCGGTATAATTCTTTTCTTTTCATCAGTGCTAGCCAGAAGTATGGTAACTTGTAACAGTCGAGAACGAACCCCCTTGCGCCACTGCCCCTGAACCGCCGCCTCATCCCTCCCCCCGTAAGCCCCCAAAGCCGCAAGCCCCTTTTTCACCCACCCCTGCAACTGAGGCACCTGTTCGTCGACACTTTTACGCTCAGCTGATTTTAGGCGAGCGCGGTGCGTGCTACGCTTTTGACTTGGCGATGACTCAGCGAACGTACTCCTCCCAACCCCCTACCCCTTCAAATCCCCGCCCCACGCCCCTCATCACCAAAATCATCCGCCTTCATGGTTAAATAACCATGCGGGCCAGAAAGGGACAGAGAAAGAGGGAAACGCTACGCTGCACATGGGGCTCAAAGATGGAAAAGGGGGCTAAACAAAAAAGGGGGGGAGGGGGTCTGAGGGAGAGCACAAAAAACGAAGGGGGGGTCGGACGAAAAAGGGGGTCTTGGGCGGGTGGAGACCTCGCTCTAACGGCGAATGTGTATTGCCTTATTAGCATTTGCCGCCCAAACGTGTTCAACAGGTGAATAAATGAATGAATACCACTTGAATGGGGGATATGATCCCAAAATAAGATGAATAAAGAAATGCTTGCGATAACAGACTCAGAATGGGATTTCAAAGCTTCTGGACCAGAACAAATAAAAAAAGAAAGGAAAACTTGGGGGGGAAACATAAAAAAATTTAAAAAAATTATATAAAATTTTAAAAAAAAAAAAAAAATAAAAAAAAAAAAAAAAAAATTAATATATTAAAAAAAAAAAATTTTTTTTTAATTTTTTTTAAAAAAAAAAAAAAAAAAAAAAAAAAAAAAAAAAAAAAAAAAAAAAAAAAAAAAAAAAAAAAAAAAAAAAAAAAAAAAAAAAAAAAAAAAAAAAAAAAAAAAAAAAAAAAAAAAAAAAAAAAAAAAAAAAAAAAAAAAAAAAATAAGATGGAAGCCATATAATTAATACGATTTAATTAACTCCCTTAACACATTAGCCTAATATAATAAATAATTAGGCGACTAATGGCGATAACGAAAATAATATAGTCCGGTTGGGTGTATAGTTTGAAAACTGTAATATGAACGCCGTTCTTATCTATATTTAAAAATTCGATTTTCATATATTACCAACTTTTCACAACCAGTCTTTGAAGTCTAAATACACCTTATATTTAAGTACTTCTCGCTAAGAACTTTTACTGGACTTCCTGGTCTCCACATTCTTTTCCCAGACCCTTTAATATTGCCCAAGTTCTTGGAATCCGTTTGAGAGCAAAGTATTCGTGATCTGTACCTAAAAGAAAAGGGAAATAGAAAATTCCAGAACAAACATTCATCAAGATTTTGAGTGTGAGTGGAGGTCGGATATCGACTTTGGTATTTGGTATTCGGTTTTTGGGCTCCCGGGCACGTACTGCCCTACGGATCGCCCATCCGATGCTGTTTGCCCCGATGCAGCTGAATCAATTTTACCACGGCTATATAGCCATGGGCGCAAGTCACTCAAAGAGCCTCCAAAATAATTTCGTGATAGATTCGTTTTATTTTTTTTTGTGGTTGCTGATTTCATTCCACGTTCTCTGAGGGTGTTTTTGAATTGGATTCGTAGAGTGGGGAGTCTAACCGTCTGGGTCTCGCACAGATTCCCAGCAAGTCTATATAGTGCCATCACCATGCCCGGAATTTGATTTGCGTGCCGCCTGTAACACTTTCTAATGCTGATAATGACTTTGCGAGTGTTTTGCGGGCATTTCGGCACTTGCACCGAAAAAAATATTATTATATATTCATCACATAAATATCAAAATCAATTGAGTCTCCTTTCTTCCACATAAATACTTGATATAGAAATCACATTAATCTTCAAACGATTTGGTTTAACCTTAATAGTATCAGCAGAATATTAAAAAAATATTAAAATGATATGTAAAATAGCCCATGGGTTTTGACACATAAAAGTATTCCTAATATTGTTTACATTATATAGTAAGTACTATAAAATGTTATAGCTGGGTATATCAAGTGCCTATTCCCTCTATTTTTTTCTCAGTGCACCATGCTCCCCTCGGATGTCAACAATTTTCGAGCTACTCGAGTGTTTTACCACCCTTCCAACTCTTTATTTTTTGGACAGTCGGTTAAATGCAATTAACTTGGTTACACTTTCATGCGGGACTCGAATTTGGATGTAGAATTCGTTTCGGTTTTGGTTTTTGCTTTCAGTTTTTCACTTTAAAACAACGATTTAATTTTGTGGTCAGCGGAAGTGATCGTTTTGCCACTTTGGCGCTGATAGGGTCACCCAGTGAAATCACCATCAGCATAATTATTACCATTCCCACAATCACATGACACTCGTCTCTATAAATTATATTCGTGAGCTGCTCTTGTTTTGCACATGTTTAATTGCGAAAACTGATAAGACACCACATAAAGTACAAACTTGGTTCATTTAATCGGTGAGAACTCTTTAGTCAGGGTTGGATTTGATAGCACTTATTTGTTGTGATTAAGATTATTGACAACTAAGAACAACTTGTGACATTTTTTTAGTACTAAGCCAGGTTATGATTTGTGTTAAATATATGGTCCCTAAAAATATATGCTATTAAATTTAAAACTATTTAAATTCAAGTAATTTTTAAATGTATGTAAGTACATGGCTCATCATTTTAAAAACCTCTCTAAAGTTTTTCACATTATAACAAATACAATTACCCATATTATTAAGTAAGTCACGCTTTTTTTTATTCCTATTGAAACCCGATCCTGGCAAGACAAAAAATTATTTAAAGATAAGTGACGAACTAAGCACAACATGATGTGGTCAAAAAAGATAACACAAGTCAGTTTCGCATACGCAGAATGGCTAGTTTTCCCACATCCCTAAAAGTCAGAAGGTCAACATCGGGCGTGAACCCGGAAAACCCCTGTGGATAAGCCCATGGAAATGAGACATCCCGAAACCAAGCAGATAATACAAATGAGGAGGATCAGAAAGACCAGAGATATTGAACGATTCCAGTCTGAAATCCGCATTCGCAGGGGCCGTAAAAAATTTCGCTGTCTTCATTTCAATCGAATTTGTATTAAAAAACAAGTTTCCACAGCAGAAAGAAATGAAAACGAAGAAAATTATAAAACACACTTAAAGTTATAAGCAAAAAAAAAATATAATCCACTTACTTTTGCTGTTTTATATCCCAAAACAAAGATGTTAAAGAAGATGCGCGTGCTTTTGGTTTTCTTTGCTTGTCTTTTATCTTTCACCCGTTTTCTGTTGTTGTTGCTTTGTGGGTTAATACCAAATTATTGTAAAAATAAATTAGCATATAAATAAATATTAAACACCACAAATTTGTTCGTTTTAAATTTCGTTTCGTTTTGGTTTGTGTTTTTGTTTTTATTGTTTTGAGAATCTTTTAATTTTGGTTGTTGGTTGGCTTATCTGGTTTTAGCCAGTTAAAATGTATTTTATATGGGTCTAAATTTTATTTAATTGCTTAAAGTTTTCCCGTGGTCGCCTTTTATTTTTCGCTGCTGTTTTATCGCCTTTTGTCGCTGCGTTTATTGTTGTTTTTGTCATTATGACAACACACACTGTTTTTATTTGAATTTTGCTTTTTATTTATTTTTATTTCTTTAACTGTATCCCACATATTATTTCATTCACAAAGACTTTTGCACACACACAACAAAATCACGTGAAAAAAAAACGTTGTAAGATATTTTGAATTGTAATAAACTGGAAGAAAAACATAAAATAATATATTAATATTTAAATGGAACGCAAGCAAATGAAAAAAATTACTGCCTTCTTTGACAATACATAATGACACAGTAAAAAATTTTAAGTCAATAGGCTGGTTTTACTTAAAAAAAAAGGAGAACCAAACTATTAGTGGTATTATATTATTTAAATATTTTAGTATTTACAATATTTTTATAAAATACCAAGTTGGTTATGATCTAAGTCTTAAAAAGTAATTATTTTAATGACTTGAGTATTGGAATACTAAACATGTATTTCTCAGTGCACATAGGCAAATGTATATGTACACCGCACATATATTTTTAAGATTATAAATTATCGGATGCCTGTTGCTGTAAAGCCAACAACAATAGCAACTACAAAAACTGTTTCACAACATAGTATAGTATATATAAATATATACATATATATATAGTATATAAATACACGCTTTCGTATTATGTAGTTTATTTTACTTTATTTTACTTCACTTTATTTCATTCTCCTTTTTTCTGTTTCCTTTCACAGATATGCATTCTTGCGTTTTGTTTGCGTTTTTGTTTTATGTTTTAGTTTCTGTTCAAATCCAAATCGAAATCGGGTCAAATTTAGGGAAGAATAAAGACGACACGAAAAAAAAACTTAAAAAAATAGTTTAACCGAAATGCACACGAAAAAACGTTTCAGTTTTTTTTTAACACATTTTTACGGGGAAGTAGAGGAAAATTTGAAACTCTATTTATTGTTATTTATTTTGGTTGAATTTAAACTTATATGCACACGTTCTGGCCGATTGCACATGTCTTTTAAGTTTATTTATGTATCAAAAATAATAATTTGAAATTATATTTCGTTGTTATACCCTTGCAGAGGGTATTATAATTTTGGTCAAAAGTGTGCAACGCAGTGAAGGAGACATCTCCGACCCTATAAAGTATATATATTCTTGATCAGGATCACCTCCTGAGTTGATATAGCCATGTCCGTCTGTCCGTCTGTCCGCGTCCGTCTGTCCGTCTGTCCGTCTGTCCGTCTGTCCGTCTGTCCGTCTGTCCGTCTGTCTGTTTCTACGCAAACTAGTCTCTCAGTTTTAAAGCTATCGGATTGAAACTTTGCACACACCCTTCTTTCCTTTGCACGCAGTATATAAGTCGGAACGGCCGGGATCGGCCGACTATATCCTATAGCTGCCATATAACTGATTGATCGGAAATGCCATAACTTTCGTGTTTGTAAAGTTAGGAAGTTGGGATTTTCTATGGGTTTTATATTTGGCCAATCAATCCGACCTACCAAATTTCATAAGGATCGGCCGACTATATCCTATAGCTGCCATATAACTGATTGATCGGAAATGCCATAACTTTGGTGTTTGTAAAGTTAGAAAATTGGGATTTTCTATGGATTTTATTTTTGGCCAATCAATCCGACCTACCAAATTTCATTAGGATCGGCCGACTATATCATATAGCTGCCATATAACTGATTGATCGGAAATGCCATAACTTTGGTGTTTGTAAAGTTAGGAAGTTGGGATTTTCTATGGATTTTATTTTTGGCCAATCAATCCGACTTACCAAATTTCATAAGGATCGGCCGACTATATCCTATAGCTGCCATATAACTGAACGATTGGAAATGCCATAACTTTGTTGTTGTTAAAGTTAGGAAGTTCGGATTTTTTATGAGTATTAAGAATGCATCATATGAATAATTTTGGAGAATATAATTTACAGAGTATTCTGCAAGGGTATATCAACTTCGGCTCCGCCCGAAGTTAGCTTTCCTTTCTTGTTTTTTGTTTGCTATTGTTGCTGGTTTTCCTTTCTTTTTTCATTAATTTTTTGTTCAGTTCTTTTCGAAAAGAGATTGAATAGGCAGAAGAAAAAGATAGCACGCACCGTTACCGTTCACGTTCACAGTTTTTATTGGAATGAGAAGCGGCTTCAAAACGCTGCGCGGGCGTCCACGTTGGCGTCGCAGTCACCGCCAGAGAATGAGAGAGCGGGAGAGAGCGCGAGAGACGATCATATACATAGACATTCGATCGGTGACTGCTGGCAAAGAGAAGAACTCTCTTTCGAAGAGCAAGCTTAAGCCGCGCTTAGCTTTTAGTGTTTTTTATTAGTTGCAACTGAACTCAGAAATGTTGTTGGTTATTTCGATCTTTTTATACCAGGAGGCTGCCAAAAATGCAGTCAAAAAGTGTCACAAAGTGAAGGAGTTCAGATTGGACGACTATACTATATAGCTGCCACAGGAACGATCAAAAAAATAATAGTAAAACAAGAAAGGAAAGCTAACTTCGGGCGGAGCCGAAGTTGATATACCCTTGCAGAATACTCTGTAAATTATATTCTCCAAAATTATTCATATAATGCATTCTTAATACTCATAAAAAATCCCAACTTCCTAACTTTACAAACACGAAAGTTATGGCATTTCCGATCAATCAGTTATATGGCAGCTATAGGATATAGTCGGCCGATCCTTATGAAATTTGGTAGGTCGGATTGATTGGCCAAATATAAAACCCATAGAAAATCCCAACTTCCTAACTTTACAAACACGAAAGTTATGGCATTTCCGATCAATCAGTTATATGGCAGCTATAGGATATAGTCGGCCGATCCTTATGAAATTTGGTAGGTCGGATTGATTGGCCAAATATAAAACCCATAGAAAATCCCCAACTTCCTAACTTTACAAACACGAAAGTTATGGCATTTCCGATCAATCAGTTATATGGCAGCTATAGGATATAGTCGGCCGATCCTTATGAAATTTGGTAGGTCGGATTGATTGGCCAAATATAAAACCCATAGAAAATCTCAACTTCCTAACTTTACAAACACGAAAGTTATGGCATTTCCGATCAATCAGTTATATGGCAGCTATAGGATATAGTCGGCCGATCCTTATGAAATTTGGTGAGTCGGATTGATTGGCCAAATATAAAACCCATAGAAAATATCAACTTCCTAACTTTACAAACACGAAAGTTATGGCATTTCCGATCAATCAGTTATATGGCAGCTATAGGATATAGTCGGCCGATCCCGGCCGTTCCGACTTATATACTGCGTGCAAAGGAAAGAAGGGTGTGTGCAAAGTTTCAATTCGATAGCTTTAAAACTGAGAGACTAGTTTGCGTAGAAACAGACAGACGGACAGACGGACAGACGGACAGACGGACAGACAGACGGACAGACGGACAGACGGACAGACGGACATGGCTATATCAACTCAGGAGGTGATCCTGATCAAGAATATATATACTTTATAGGGTCGGAGACGTCTCCTTCACTGCGTTGCACACTTTTGACCAAAATTATAATACCCTCTGCAAGGGTATAATGATCTTACCTTAATAAGTAATTGGTTACGAATTGAGTAATATAATAAATACAAATCTGAGGACTATACAAATATATTTATATGTTGTTACTAGTCAAATAAGTATATTGACTATCAACTTTTTTATAATAGTAGGGTATCAGATCTTCGGCCTATCGAAGTGAACTTACTTTCCTTATACACTCTACAAAAAAATGATATATGCGAATGAACAATGTTGCCTAACTAAAGGGGCTGAGCAGGGATTTTATAGAAATAATGTTAGTTTTTTTTTGGGAATAGTGTTTAATGGATTCCATTGTCGGCTAACAAATTATTATACAATTACATGTGTTTAAAAAGTGTATGGCAACTTATTTAGTTATGCTGAATTATGCCATCGACCAAAACTGCAATATTATCCAGAAAGCTTATACGAAATAAGATTTTTTTTACATATCTTAAAATATATGTTTTTTTTCGAGTGTCCAAAAAGAATCAACAAAAGAGCGCACTGCACTCTTCTGACCGCCTGCAAAGGATGATTAATGACCCTATGGCAAATGCATTTGTCCCCCTGGTTTTGTCTTTCTTTTTTCTCTGAGTGCAGCTAATTGTTCAATTTACATAGACACTTCGGCTCTTCCTGGTAATTTTCCGCTCTCAGACGCTGTGAGTAAAATCTATTTTCAATTTTTTTGTCCGAGGTCGGGAGACCACCAGGGGAAAGTATTGAAAATAGGAACACGAAAAATAGACAATTTGGCCTGGCCAATATAAGAAGAAATCTCAGTAAGCCTGAATAAATATCCTTCAACTTAAATCAAGAGATGTTTTCCTTTTATTCCCCGCCATCTTCATCGGGAATTGTCTCGCACTTCTCGGTACATTTTATTAGCCTCCACTTGAGCTACTGTGCTGCTTAGGCCAACATAATGACCAATTAGGCCCACTTGGTACCAAATACACCGCTCAAATTTTTAAAGCTAATCATTTAATTTGGTATATGTACAAGTATATATCATTTTATTGTTCTCATTTTAAGCCCAAACTTAAATGTTCTAATAATATGTTTCCTTACGCCTAATATGTGAAATTTTAAAAATGATGTTAAAAATAAAAAATGATGTGTGGTCTTTTATTTACATATATAAAAACCTATCTAAAAAATATATCGGAAATGATTTTTAAAAAATTTGATATCATAAAATAGGCTATTACAGAAATTTCTTATCCAACTAAATTTCAACAGAAGATCAATTCTCTGTTTATCAGGCTTTAATATAATATATTAATATTAATATAATATATATATTTCTATTATCTTAGCAGAGTTGCTCCCAAACTCAAAGGAATAACACAAATTTTAACCATTTGGCCCAAAAACTTTCTTAGACTTATGTGACTTACCATAAAGTGTAGGTGTAGGATATAAATATTTGGGGAATTCCGCTACATCTAAATAATACTTTTGCCAATTATTTTGTGGAGTGTTTCGCTTAGTGTATGAATTCGGATCAGCCTTTTTCCCTGCTTACTCCCTTTCTCTGACTCTTTCCCTTTTCTGTTGAATTTTCGACGGTCAAGTGTGTGTGTCTGGTCTTCAGGCCTTTCGCCCAAAATAAAAAATCGAAAAACAAAAAGTTTAGCAAAT